GAATAGAAAGCTTTAAAGTGACTTAAAAAATGTTTAAAAGGGATATAATTATAAAATTAAATATATTACAGATAGGGTCCAACAAATCCTATAATAATAGATCAGGGTAGAGGAGAAAAAGAATCTTGAAGTATTACAAAGATAACATTAAAATAAGCAAAGAAAAATTTATATAAACTCAAGTTAAACAGACCATGAAATGAACTCCATGTTAAATAAATTTTTAACATTTATGTCACTCTACCTACTATGTACAAGGTATGATTAGGTCTGAGTGAGCTACAAGGAATTAAAAATAATCTCTTCTCTCAAAAGCTTATAAAGCAAAATTGGAAGTTAAAACACATGTATTTCCCCAAACACCTAACAAAATAAGGAGACAGATGCAATGTATTCAAGGATGTTTCTCTGCCAGGACATCAACTCCATAAAAGCAAGGACATTGGTTCTAGTATCATTAGTACCTAAGCAATGTTTGCCATTATAGTATGTATTCAATAAATGTTTGTTGAACAAAAGGATATATGTATGTATGTATACATGTGCAGGAGTGAAAGCTCAGTAAAAAACAACTGACAAAAAGCATATTAATAGGATAAAAAGCATACAGATTTATTTAATCATAGTTTTGCATGACACAGAAATCTTCAGACTGAAGACTCAAAGATAAAGGAGTCAATTTTTATGCTTAGGTTCAACAAAGTATGGACAGCTTTGCAGCAATATGATTGGCCAAAGGGTCATATCTATTGCTAACAGACTGGTGAAACCCATCAAGGCCTGTCTGTCTAGATTCTTCTTGACCTCTTTATGCAGCATTCTTTCTTCACAGTTACAAGTCATGACCCTCTCTGGAACTGTTAGAAACTACAGTCAAACATGGTAGGTCAGGTAATTTCTTTATGGTCTGTTTTTACAAAGGAAGGCAGGGGAAAGTTAAAATGATAGTTTTAGGTTTTGTGGCTGGTTTGGGGAGAAAGGGCTTCCTATTTCTATGACCTGCCTTGGGAAAAGAGATTCTACTTTCTAGGGCTAGCCTTGGCGATGACTGCAAAGCCAGAGACAGGCGAACAGAAAAAAGTCAGAGAGAGCTGCTTCTGAGGGCTTCATTTTGGGATATCACTTTCTAAGCTCCTGCACATGCATGCATGCACATCAGTTAGTAAGTACCTTATGATTTCAATAAGTATACTCATTCAACCTGGGTCAAGGGTAAATCATGGTGAAAATAAGATTTTTTTAAAAGTGATAGGCGACACTCTATGAAGCTGATGGTAACATTCTACAAAATGTCAACAGTGTCACCATCTGTGATAAGTCAATTTTATGAGTCAACTTGACTTGGCCATAGGGTACCCACATATTTGGTAAAACATTATTCTGGGTATTTCTATGAGCATGTTTTAGATGAAATTAACATTTATCATTAGTAGACTGGGAAAAGCAGATTGCCTTGCCTAATGTGGGTGGGCATCCTCCAATCAGTTGAAGGTCTAAATAGGACAAACCCATTGATCCTCCTTCACATGAGGAGAATTCTTCCTGCCTGAAAGCCTTTAAACTGGCTCATCAGCTTTTTTCCAGCCTTCAGAGTAGAACTGAAACACTGTCTCTTCCTGAGTCTTGAGCCCACCAGTCTTCAGACTAGAACTACATCACCAGCTTTCCTGGGTGTCTACCTTGCTGAATTGCTCTGCAGATCTTGGGACTTACTAGCCTCCATAATTATGTGAGCCAATTCCTTATAATAAATCTCTCTCTTTATCCGTACACACATATATTTTATACATGCGTACACACAGATATATACATACATACACATATCCTATTGGTTCTGTTTCTCTGGAGTGGTTTAATACACCATAATATACTTGAATAGAGAAATGGTCTAAGCCAGAATGGTATTTATTATGTTGTCATGTTGTTTATTCAATCCCACTGACCTCTCTGATGCCCAGTATCCAGGATTCTTGGGGTTCTCAATAAGTAATATTTGATGATAAAAACCAAAACAGTAATTATGCTGGGAATGGCTTATTTAAAAAAAAAAAATCTTACCCTATATCCTTTCTCAGTTATCTTGACTGAGAAGAAGCTTCTTTCTGTTTTAAAAATAATTATCTATCCTCCCAGAAAAATCCTATTTTCTTTTTTAGAAGGTCTATTTTCAAAACACTCAGATATATAAGGAACAAACGAAAATCCTAATGGAAAACGGGCAAGGTTATAAATAAGACATTCACAGAAGAAAATTGCAAAGAGCTGGCTAATAAAACAAAAAAATGCATAAACTCATTTATAATTATAGAAATGCAAATCAAAACCACAAAGAGATCCTATTTTAAACTATTACAATGACAAAAATTAAAAATTTCCATTATACCCAAATGTGGAGAAAGAAACATTCTCATCACTATTGGTGAGATATTCTTTAAGAAGAATACATGGCACAACCTAGTTAAATTAAAAATGCACATACCGTTTGACATAGCTATTCTTCTGTGAGGAACTGATCCTAAAGATATGTTTACAAAAAAGCATGTCAACAATAGACACACAGCAATGTTTGTATTAGCAGAAACCAAAATAATCTCCCAACCCCATTCAGCCTAAATATTTACCAGAAAGCTAATAGTTAAGTAAATGATGGTACACATGTCATAAATACTAGACAATCATTAAAAAAATGGATTGCAGTAACTTTGCTGATGTGAAAATAGATCCAAGATATGAGCCAAACAAGGTACAGAATCATTTATATAAAATTATCCCCTTTGAGAATATTTTATAAGAATAAATATAAAGAAATATGTGTGTGTATATATATTTATAATATTTATATTCTAAATAGAGACAGCCACGTAGCTCCATAGGGAGATGCATACACATTGTTGTGGAAATATACACTGGAAATTTATCAATGATTACTTTCGGGAAGAACTAGCTATTGGTCAGTGAATAGAACATCTACTTTTTACAACTCTCTGTACAGTATTAATATGTAACTATGCGTATAACTTGTTTTTAAATGCTATTTTAAATTTTAGGCAGAGAAAATCTTACTCCCACCTGATTCTTTCAAGTAATGCTTAATAATTGAAGAAATTCCTTGAGATGCCACAAAGTTACAGTCTCCTCCTTTCATCACCATTCCTTCAATAGGCGAGGTTAGAGGCCTCAAAATGCCATGGGCTAACAGTTCATCATAAAAACTGAAATAAATCAATATGTATATTTAATGTAAGTATATATCATGATTCACTCTAAAAGACTATATTCTCTTCCAATAATTCTCAGAGGTTGTAATTCATTCATAATTAGAAATATTCCTATATTTTATATTAAATAAAATGTATATTTTGTGTTAAATAAAACATAATACAGGTGAAAAAGAGAAATGTTTTGAGTATCCGTAGACCTTTTGTCAAAGGCCTATTCCTCTGTAAGTATATTTTAAAAGTAAAGTTAATGAAAACAAACAAATGTATCTAGTACATCAATTTTAAATTTGGTTAAGAAGATTGGCTCCCATCACAGCTAGTTGCCTTCTTCCATAACACCAACACAGGAGTTGATTATTGAGCGCTTACTATGTTCCATTTATCAGCTCATCTAATCTTAACACTCCTATTGAGGTAGGTGTTAAGAGTTTCCCATTTTACTTAACTTTTTACTGCTAACACCATCAACAAAGACATGTTTCAAGAGGCAAGTTTAATCATGTTAAAAATGGATGATTCGCATCTTTTTACACCATGCAACTGCTAAGATTGATTCCACCTCTTGCAACTAACTCACCTTTGGTGGGTTTTGGCATAATGAGGAGTGCAGGTGATGTACTGAGCACCCAAGTCAGCTGTGCACTGAGGATTATGAGGACTGCTGGCTGTAGTCATCCTTCCCCCTTGAATCAATCCACAGGAAAATGTCTTATTGCATTAGAATGAGCCTTAGCAATTAATTCAACCCACCCTAGGTTACCCCAAATGGATTATTTCAAAAATATCTTAATTTGTTTTAAGCTGAAGTATTTGATCAGATTGTGAGATTTTAGAAGAAAAGGAGTCAGGAGCAATGTAGCAGTGCCCAGCACCATAAAAGTGCATATATTTAGTAATAGGAGTGAAGGGACAAAACTAAAAAAGATTAATTAAATGTCAGAATATATGAGTCAACTAATGCTCTTTCATTTATGCAGTCAATCTTCATCGGAATGACAGGATTCTGCAAACTACATCTTCAGAAAGTCTTGGTCTATGATCACTTTGGGAGCCTCATAATCTGCAGAAAGCTGCAAAGTCAACAGACAGACCAAGGCAAAAATCTATTTTTTAGGGACAGCAATAGGCCTGAGCTTTGCAAACCTGGGTCAGGCCCTCTCCCACGCCGCCGTCTCAGGGCTCCCTCAGAAAACCGCGGAGTACTCCTACCCTGCTCCAACCCTCGCCCCCTCTTGGGCCTTTTCCCAGGCGGCGGAAGTTCCCGATCACGTGACGAGGCCCGCAGTTCAGCGCGTGGGCAGCTCTCAGGGTGCTGAGGCTCTAGCGTTTCCGCCTCAGACTTACTCAGGTGCAGGCCCACACCGCCTCAGCAGCCGGCCCGGCCAGCCTCTTTTCCCAGGTTTTGGCATTTAGACAACACACCTGAGTCCTCAGCCTTGTCCCACACAGCTAGGTACAAGGGACCGGTCGTCTGCCTCCTCAGCAGCGCAGCGCACAAGCTTCCTGTCAGCCCGGCGCCCACGACCAGCACCCGCGCCATGGCGGAAGGGGATCCACGATCCGCGCCGAGTCTCCGCGGTGGGGCCGAGCGGCCCGGGATTTGTGGAAAGGCGGTGGAACCGGCGCTAGCGCTCTTTGGTTCCGTGCTCCCTTCGCGGACCCGGGCCCTGGGCGGTCCCTCCAGCCGGCCTGCAGGGGGCGGAGAGGAGGCGGCTGGAATGGAGAGGCCAGTCGGTCCTTGAGGAGTAAACCAGAGCCCTCAGAGAACTTAGACTGTCTCCTGTCTTTGGGGTCCGGGCGCAGCCAGATAGGTTCCACACTCCGGCCTGCCCCTCGCCAGAAAAGCCTGGAAATCGTGTGGGCTATTGTTGGGAGAATCTGCCTCGCCACAGAGCTGACGTTGACTACAGCGGAGAACCAGCTTAACCCGTATACTGCGATAGCTCTCTTGCCTGTTGGGATTTTTGCTATTTTAATATTCTAGTTTTGAAAGTGGGAAGAAGAAACACCAGTGATACCACGGGAAAACTTCCCTCTAATGCTTGAACAGCTACTATGAGCATAATAGAAACACTCTGGAATCTGGGAGACATTTTTCTTAGACCTGGGATTTTGTGTAACTTTCCTGAACCTCAATTTCTCCATCTAGAAAATGGGAACAATAACGTATACATTTCAAACTTGTAAAGATTAAAGATACTTGATTAATCAGAAAATTACAAATTACTCTTCAATAAATACTAAGTTCTATGTCAGAACGCATTCCGTATGTACTAAGGAATATAAAGACGAACAAGAGAAGGATTGGTGCCATTGCCATTGTTTTTATTTCCTCCTCCTAACATTGTACTGGAAGTTTTCAATGAAACGGCACAAGGCAATCAGAATACTGAATTATTAAATAATTAAGTTCACTAACTTGCAGATAAATTATTACCTGGAAAACTAAGAAACCGATTAAGTATCAGCACCAATAAGAAAATTGACAATGGTAACCAATTATAATGGAAACATTTAAAAATCAGAATATTTACTTCATGTCTACCTCATGAAAAAAATTACCATGTATCAAATGGGTGATGAATTAATAATAGATGTATCTAATTAAAGAACTGGAAGAAAATGTAGCTGGGCATATATGACTAAAAAAATATTTTTAACCATAAAAATCAAAGATGGAATTGAACAGAAAAACATTGAATACATAATCATTTACAACTTGTATAGTACCAAATATACAAGACAAAATACAAATAGTAAATTTCGGAAAGGTATTAAAGTTTATATTATTTAAAGACATTATACAAAGTCTTAAAGACACAAATGACAAAAGCCAAAAGGAAAATATGTATATATTGGATAGAGTTCTTGAATCAAAAGAAATACATAAGTCCAATAAGCATGTGTTTAATTTTTTCTATTCAAATACAGATTAAAAGGAGGTACTATTTTTCATTTGTTGGGCTTTTTTTTTTTTTTTTTTTTAAACCTGAGACAGGGTCTTGCTCTGTCCCCTAGGCGAGTGTGCAGTGGCACAATCAGGGCTCACTGCAGCCTTGACTTCTTAGGCACAAGCCATTCTCCTTCCTCAGCCACTGGAGTAGCTGGGACTACAGGTGACCACCACGACACCTGGCTAATTTTGTGTGTGTGTGTATGTGTGTGTGTGTATTTTTCGTAGAGACAAGGTTTTGCCATGTTTCCCAGGCTAGGAATAACTTTTGTAAATGTGAAATGTCTTCATTTGTAGGGATACAGCAAAATATACAATAGTATATTACTGATGGAAGTGTACTAGAGAAATTTTTCATAATATAGTTTGATACTCTGTCAAAAGCCTTAAAGTATGCCCTTTAACGCAGACATTTATCTTGGGAAAATAGTGTACAAGTATATATTAAAGTTTATGATTTTTCTGAAATTAAAAGTTCAGATTTCTCTGAAATTAAAAGCTTAATGTGATTCACAGCCATAGAAAGTCTTAAAATCTCAAAATTGTCTGGAAAGGACATTTAAATTAATCAATTTCACCTGCCCTCTGCAACCATTTTATACATGTTAGTACAGACACTAAGTTCAGGTGAGTTTACCCAAACTTACCTATTATCTCAGTGGTGAAGCAAGGGCAGACCTTCATGGTCTTCTGAGTCTGCTCTCCTGCTTTTTTCCATCCTTTCCTGCTTTCTTACTTCTGTTAATAATTTGATCATCTTGGACAATGAGACTTGAAACTTCATAATTATCTTCTATAGCTTCTTTTTTCTCATCCTTGATACCTATCAGTCCTCAGGCCTTTTTGATCCTTTCTCCATTGTCTCTTGAATCCAACCACATTAGATTGCACAACAGAAAAGTTGCTCAAATTCCATTTCCACCAGCAATGGTAGAAAACAGATAGTGAACAGATAGAATATTGTAAAGTCGGAACATTTTCTTCACTGCACTCTGCCAACTGTGAACATTTATCATTTCAAAGAGTAATTGCCAAAAAATTAATTCACCACTTGAGTTCAAGCCATCAGGTTTTTTTTAAGCCAGTCAAATTTAGCACTGGAGGGTTGTATACCAACTTTAGTGACATTACTGTTAATAAATTCTGATAAGCCATTACCATCAGACCAGTTCAAACCATCGGTTCTTACCTTAATTATTACAGTAGCTTTCTAACTAGTCTTCCTACTTAGCAGTTCTGCACCCAGCTTCTAGATGAGTCACCACCATACTCAAAAACTTTCTGTAGCTCTCAGTTTCATACATAATTAAGTTCCACTGCATTAACTTGGCACAAAAAATATTCAATAATATATTCTTATTCTATGGTTGTCTCTTAACGTTTGTATCTTCATTTCTTCTATGCTGTGGCTGAACCGAATTGCTTTCTTTTCCTTGAACACACTTACCTATGGCAGAAGAAAACCTTTCCTTGTGCTGTTCTCTGTGTATAGAGCATCCTTGTTAGACTTGCATCTCCTGCAGTTGTGAATTTGCATTAACCCTTCACTGTCGTTTTCCTTTCTCCCTATGATCATGCACTCTTTCAAAACAGTTATCCAGAATTTTGAATTGCTGTGGCCATCAAATGGAAGTAGCCATAGTGGCTTACAATTTCTCCTTATGCCTAGCCTCCAGAATGGGTTGCATCTGATTTCACAGTTAATAGAGTAATGGGTCCATGGTTGACTACTTGACAGTAGTACATCTTTCTGGAAAGGTAAGAATGACTAGATGACCTAGAGAAAATTAGGATTGCAAGATAGATGAGACAGCCTCCTTGTCAAATATTTGTTCTTCCTAATCACTTTGACCTTTTCCCTTGACTTTTTTCCTATTCTTGATCTTTTCAAGGCTGATTCCATGAATGACTTCATTCAAATCAGCTTAAAAGTGGTCACCTAAAAGTGGTATTCTCTGACCACTTGACCTAAAATAGCCACCCAGTGACTCCCTATTTCATCAAATGATGGAAAAATGAATGCTTTATTTTCTTCATCTCAATCCCTTTCTAGAAGTAATTTGCTTCTTTACCTGTTTACTTATTTATTGTTTATTTATTGTTTTTCTCCTACTAGAATTTAAGCACCAAGAGGGTAGAAATTTTGTCATATTTAGTACAGTTTCCCTGGCAACTAGAATCAAAGTGAGAATTCTCAGAGACTATGAGGGTTCACTATCTGTTTGCTGGAAGATATACAAGACTTTTGTGGATAATACTTAAAGCGAGATAGGCCGGATGGTAATTCAGGTTGATAATGATCAATGACATTGAGCTTTTTTTCATATGTTTATTTGTCACGTAAATGTCTTCTTTTCAGACCTAACAATACTTTTAAGACTGTTGCTTCTATATTTGAACTCCTTTAAGTCATTTTTGACTACATATTCACTACTTGTTACTGTTATTACAATAATTGTCAGACAAAAATAAATCTACTTCAGACTTTTAAGGAAGTTTCGTATCTTAATAATTTTAATTGTTTTTTAATAGACATTTTAATTGCTTTTTAAGTAGTGGGAAACTACCACTGACAACCTCTGTGGTGGTTTTCTCATTTTTGGGAAGATGTGAATGTATTTGGAGTAACGTATGGGAAAGGGGCTTGAAAAAAAATAGGAAGCTGGATTTAACATTGCCTTGAGTTAAATGTTCTCTTTTTATTTTGCTTTTTAGTATAATGTACTTTTTCTTAGCTTTCCTATGACTCTACTTAGCAACCTTTGCTAAAAGAAACACAACGATGATTCACTACTTTGAAGACACATACACTAGACACTTAAAATCAACAAAAGCAGAGAGGTATGACATTATACTTTCCATCGTTTTGTGTTGTATCTAGAGTCAAACTAATCATTTTAATGGCATAAAAAAATAATTCTCAACAGGTACGTTGGCCCATGCCTGTAATCCTAGCACTTTGGGAGGCCGAAGCTGGTGGATCATGAGGTCAGGAGTTCGAGACCAGCCTGGTCAATATGGTGAAACCCTGTCTTTACTAAAAATACAAATATTAGTCGGGTGTAGTGGCACATGCCTGTAGTCCCAGCTACTTGGGAGGCTAAAGCAGGAAAATCGCGTGAACGAGGGAGGTGGAGGTTGCAGTGAGCCGAGACCCTGCCATTGCACTCCAGCCTGGGTGACAGAGTGAGACTCCATCTCAAAAAAATAATAATTAATCTTCAAGTCATCTTTTAGGAAATTATATTGTAGTTATGCATTAATGTTAATATTACAGATATTTGATATTTTCATATTTTAAGTACTTTTACTAAATGGGCGATAGCTTTTAAAAATTATTATTTAAAATTCTGGCAACCTCCAATTTTAGTGCTGTGGTATAAAACTAAACTTTTTACTCACTTTCATCTTTGACTGCCTTATGAAAGTTTGACTCTGAACAAAGTAAATCACCAGTGATTTGCTGCATGGAATACTATCTCACCACACAGCCAGCATGGATGGAAAATTATGGCAAGTAACTTAAATTGAAGTAATAATGATTACCTGCTGCATTAGGTACAAGGTTTACAGGACAAAATAATATTTTAATGTAGTAGTGGTGATTACTTCTATAGCAAACCATTTTATCCAAATTATCATTTCAACACGTATTAGAAAAATTATTGATGAGATATTTTACATTAGATTTTTTTGTAAACCCTCAAAATCCAGAATGTATTTTACACGCATAAAAGATCTTAATTCTGGGGCTAAATTTTTTGAGACAGAATCTCACTCCATTGCCCAGGCTGGAATGCAGTGGCACAATCTCAGCTCACTGCAAACTCTGCCTCCCAGGTTCAAGCAATTCTCCTGCCCAGCCTCCTGAGTAGCTGGGATTACAGACATGTACCACCACGCCCAGCTAATTTTTTTGTATTTTTAGTGGAGATGGGGTTTCACCATATTGGCCAGGCTGATCTTGAACTCCTGACCTCGTAATTCACCAGCCTCGGCCTCCCAAAGTACTGGGATTACAGGCATGAGCCACCACACCTGGCCTAGGTCTAATAGACACACTTGAGGTGTTTTTTGATTGCATAAAATTTGCACCTACAAGAGTAGTTTCACATACCTAAATTGTCTGAAATATATTTAAAAGTTTCAGTAACTGAATTGACTATCAATAAATCATTTTCTTAAATGACTATCAATAAAACTTTTTCACTAGTTGCTTTGTATGATTGACGAGTCACTGCAAATAATAAGGTTAATTTCATTCGATTTAAACATTATGACAAAATTATTTATCTTTTTCGGAAAAATTCAGACTTTGAGGTAAAAACATATTAACTTAAAAACTCTATCTCTCCAAGTTAAGTATAATTAAATCGCTCATGTCAACTTAAAATTATTAATATCAAATTCAAATTTGAGCTGCAAAGCAACTCTAAATTTATCAATATCAACTATTTTTTCTTGTAGTTTTGTAGCCAATTTATATAAAAGCTGTTGTTTATAATTAAAATCTGCATATTGATTCACGTTAGAAAAATGTGTAAATCATGATTATTGAATTGCATTATGAAAAGTTTTCATTTCAACATAAAGTCTAGTAGCAGTTGACTAGATATTTGAGGCTATAAAATTACTGCCCAATGTATAATCTCAAAGCAATGTATTAAAATAATAAATTAGCTTTTCCATTCAGCATGATATGGATGTAAAATCATGTCATCTGCCATATTTTTGTTTTCAATTATGGGATATTTAATAAGTATTGCTTTTGTTTGAAGACAATCTTGAATTGGGATTAACAATACAGTAAATCTTATAAAAATTTAAAGTTGTACTTAACAGAAAAATATTTTACACTGCTTCAGCTTTCATATTACAATTAATTTAACTAAAATAGAATATTCAGTTTCTCACTAGCCACATTTCAAGTGCACAATGGCCACATTCTAGACTTTAGTGAACGTTTTCACTAGTTGCCTTATGTGGTTGATAAGTCACTGCAAATAATAAGGTTAACTGTATTGAGTTTAAACATTTCCCATTACTGGTTATTAGGTGTACCAACTATATATTAAAGGTTGATCCTTCTGTGTTTTCTTTGAATAAAAATATTAAAATTTTGAGAAATATTTGAGGCTATAAATTGGGCAGTCATAACGTACAGATGCCTGGAACAGTCCAGATTATGCCTGTTTTCACAAGAAAATTGTCAATAGAATTTCATTTTCAAAGGTATATTGTTTCAGATGATACTCTATACATCCATTCTAGATATAATGCAAAGTACTTTAAAACCTCTGCTAGGAAGGAAGCAGTGTGTAGTAAGCTACAATATCAGTTACTGCATGTACAGACAAAAGAAAATATTCCTTCCCACACTATTTCCATATGCTTATCTGAGAGCCCATGAGGACAGAGGACTGAGTAGACTTGCTGCATGCTGAGCTGTTTTCCAAGAATACAACCAAAGAGGAATATCTAAGTGTGATTCTAAATGTTATAAAGTTTTTCCATGTGCAGTAAAATTAGCAACTCTTGTTCTTCTCTTTGGTAGAAAATATTGATAATACTGTTTTAAACTTTGCTGTTGCCTTCAATGAAAATCACAGATATTATATCAAATATAAATACTTGGACCAAAGGAGAAAAGTGCAGCTTCTGTAAATTAAATTTTTAAGTTAGAAAATGTTTTTTTAAAAATGAATACATTTTAAAATTTTCAAATCTACATCATTTTTTTTCAAGCTATCAATGTACTGGAGACTGGACTAATAAATACGTAGGAAAGACATATCAATTAGGTGCATGTAAATTACGTCCCTAAATTGCTTGTAAGTTGTTCTCTTGAGTAAGGAGGATTGTTACATATTAATATCAGCTATGTGACAGGCATTACACTAACACATCATATCACATTAATCAAATTTAAGTTTTATAACAACCCTGAGAAGTAGGTATTAGTTGCATTTTGTAGGCAGGGAAAATGATGCTCAAAAGAGGTTAAATAATCTGCTTTAAGTCACCTAGCTAGTGAGTGGTGAAGCTAGGGGTTTTATAATCCTTGGATCATGTCCTTCCGGCATAGTGTGTTGGTTTATTATATAAGACTCATGAGATTTGCAAGTCATGCTTTTTGGGGGAAATCTGGATTGCAGCCTCTGTGGGTCCCTGGTTTATTGTTTTTAGAAAAAGCTTAAGAGTTCTGGTTTCCCAGATTTTAGGAGACTCAAAAATCACCTGTCTGTAAACAAAATAAAATGCCAACCCTGAGTCACTGAATGAAAGTTATCCAAGTTTCCAAATCTTCCCCTTCATCCCCTCCTCCCGCAAAAAAATTAAGCATACATTAAATGAGTGTTAGGTTAGTAATAATACTATTACATCACTAATTCAGACATCAATTAATTTGTAATACATGATAAAGCTCTCAGAATTGGGCTGAGCAATACTATAATGGAGACTTTTAAGAGGGAATTTATCTACAAAATAGAGTAGCCAGAAAAGCATGGACTTTGAAATTAAGCAGTCCTGAATCTGAATTCTGACTGCCAGTTATACATTTTATGTTTTTAACCAAGTTATTTAATTCTTCAAAGCCTCAGTTTTCTCATCCAAAAACAATATTTCCTACCTCACAGAATTATTTGCTGCAATTTTATAAAGGGTATTATTTACTGCAATTTTAATTGTATAAACATCTCCCTTTTATGCATAGGTCCCAAATGTGGTATCTTTTCACAATAATGTATTTTATCCGAATTCTTGGAATTGCTCATGGTGTAATTCAGAATCAAAGATCTGTGAACCCTGAGGCAGATATGAATATTGTAAGTTGTTAGAAAATAAATCTGGACTGCTGAAATAACAGAGAATGCTACTCTTCAAATTTTGAATTTTAAGTTAATAGATTTACAGTCAAATGTATATGTCTATATTCAAGTATTTTTATATGGGTTAATGTTTCTCATCAGCTATGCTGTAACTCAGTTTCTCCTTCAGCCTTATTCTATCTTTGTAATGAAAAATGTATAAATATATTAATACCTTCACAAATTTGAAATATATTCATACCTTCATATATATATATATGTGTATATATATGTATATATATGTGTGTATATACATATATATATATATATATGTATATACACCTCCTTCTCTTCTGCATATTTACCTACATACAAATTTCAGATATAAGATTAGATATACACATAGACATGCAAACATTTATGGATGCACGTATATTTTAAAATTGTATGTGGGTGGGTAGGTAAAAGTATGAGAGACTAGTAGTTAAAAAAGAAAATATTCTTGAGATACCTTTTTGAAGGTAGGGGTTTGTTTTTTATTTATTTTTTTATTCTTTCAATCCCTAGTTTATAAAACTGCTGTTCAGCAGGTGTTGTATACATACTTGTTATCTGAATGAATCACTAAATTAGCAAAAATAAAAATAGGCCTGAGGTTGAGAGAGAATACCAATGTTCATTATACATAATAGGTTAGAAACAGTAAACCATTCAACTTAATTGGATAACAATTTTATGCTAAAAGATTTGTTTTTTCTTAATCTAGAGCCAAATTATTTCCTACTGGGGCTACCCTGATGAAGAATATGATATTGTAACTGAAGATGGTTATATCCTTGGCCTTTTTAGAATTCCTTATGGGAAGACAAACAATAATAAAAATCTAGGTAATATTCAATTTAAGATGGATTGGTGACTATCTGGGGTCGGAAGTTCTTAATTATTCCAGTCCCTGGAGAATGTAGAACAAGAGAAGCATCTTAAGATTAAGTGAATAGTTAACTTCTCATGTATCTTCCCGCATGCCGCAAGAAGAAACATGCAAGAATATACACTGGCTTTCTGGTCACAGAAAGGCTGTGATGAAACACAAGGTGTTCTTTCCAGGCTTCCTTTGTGGATCATTTTGCTCTTGCATGTTGATTCTCTAGAATTTTCTTCTACCGATGAGAGATTAGAAATGCTCTGAAGCACAATAACATTATTATGCTCCAGGTTTGAAGAAAGGCTTGTACAAATTTCCTTCTTTGTGATTCTCTCCTCTAGTAATGGAGTGATGAGGTTGGTAGTAGCCTCACGGCTCTTTATTCCAACAGTAAGTACATTTGAATCATCAGCGTGTGGTACAAAACGCACTGGAATTTGTTAGGAGATCTGGGTTGTAGTCCTAGATCTGCCACTTACTAGCAGAATATGTAATGGATTACTTTTGCTTATTCATATAATTACCCAAATAAAAGCCAAGTATTTTCTTTTCTCCTTAGCTTTTCTCCTGAAAGAATGTTTCTTTCAGAAGGAAACAGAATGTGAAAAAATAGAATGTTGATTATATTATAGCACATTCTTTCAAGTTATTTTGAACATTAAAGTATACTTCAGAGAGGATATTAATTTGAAACAACCTCAATTAACATAATTTTGCATATTTATAAAGGTTACACCCAGTAGCGGAAAAATCTTAACATAGATTTTATATAATAATAGTAATTATCCCCCAAGATATGACCTCATTTTGCAAGTACTCTATTAAAGATTTAAAGACAATTTAAAAAACAGCAAGTGTCTTAGAGTGTTCTAAAGGCAGAGCCTGAGAGAGGGGTTCAGATACATGTGACTAATTGATGAAATACTGTCAGGAAGCAGTAAGGTGGAAATTAGGATAAACTAGGGTGAGGAGTTAAGGGATAATATGACTCAGCTTGGGGCTAGCTGCAAAATGATCTCAGAAGAGTTCAAGGTTCCCATAAAAATTGCACTACAGAGGTGAGATTAGAGAGCTAGCTTTTTGCCTTCCTATGTCAATTAATCATTGTCTGAAGGCTACCCCTAGAAGGAGGTATGATCTCTTAGGTGAGGCAGTTCCAATTTGGCCATGGGCAATTCTACAGAGAAAGGAGCAATAGTAAACCCTTAAAAAGCAATACCTAAGGCCATAACTAGTACTCATAAATTTCCTCCTCCACCATCCATTCTAGATTTCTCTACCTCTCAGATAGCCTGCCTGATAGGTAAGCCAGGCCCTCATCCCTGAGGGCTAACATATTCATATCAGGTGATTGTTGTATTTGTTCATGTACAGTTAAAACAGGGCATAGAAGTAGGAGAAGATGACTCAGTGGATCACCTGAAGAGCAAATGTATTTCTCCCTTTCCTCATTTTGTATCAGCAGACCTATTTCCTTATGATTATGGTCAATGAACTTCCTGGTCTTCAGTAATGAAGAGCCCACAGTGACTACTAGGCAGTGGTCATAGCTTTAAGTTTGTTAGGGTGAATATAGTGCCTTGGTGGGAGCATTTTCTCTCTGAGGATGAGGGCCTCTAGATATGTAGAGGCTGAAATTGCAAGTACACAACCCTGAGTGGGTTACTAGGAGTGATGGCAAGCTCTTGTTCCTCAGACTCCTATATTCTACTTAATGAGGAATGACCAATATATTATCACCATTTTAAAAAGATGTACAATAAATCCTGAAGGATAGTGCCCATACTTACAGGATGTTGTCTCCCAGCTGTCATCTTCCACTGAGCATTCAAGGGGTTGTTTGATTTTTCTGTCAGGTTGGCAACCTCTTGATGGGCGTTATATGGTGGATGCCATAGCCATGTGTCAATGAATATGTCAACTTTGCTATGTAATTGATCCCTTATTTAAAATGTGTTACTTAAAATGTGTACGAGTGCTCAAATTACTATAAAATGTTTGATTATTCTCTTTCAGTAAAATTTGTAGATTTAAGTGGGATGTGACCTAGTTGCCACGTGGTTATTTGAAAGACATCCATTAGTAAACTGTATTAAACAGCTCTGACATACAATGGAAATAAATATTAGTAACTACTTCACTTATAAAAACAATTTAAAAAAATCTTTAAACGTCATATATTAAAAGTTTGAATTTCAGAAAAGAGATTTTCATATAGATAACTACAAAATTTATAAAGAATTTTCTGCATTTTTTTTTTCAGTTCAGAGGGTTGTATACTTGCAACATGGTTTGCTTACATCTGCCAGCAGCTGGATTTCCAATCTTCCCAACAATAGTCTGGGCTTCATTCTGGCAGATGCTGGTTATGATGTGTGGATGGGAAATAGCAGAGGAAATACCTGGTCCAGGAAACACTTGTACCTAGAAACAAATTCCAAAGAATTCTGGGCTTTCAGGTATGAATAAACTAAAGTAACATTTCGTTTTATAAATGTATACACAGTTTTCATTTTGAATGTAATAAAATAAAATATAGGTCTCACTCTTTTCACAACTTAGGACGTTCTGTAGACCATTAAAATTTATGTGATTTTGGCTTGAAAATTAAAGAGTACTTATGTGATTTTGAGTTCTTTTTTTATATTTCAGCAATAATCTTTCTTACTTAGTACCTTATTCACCAACCCCATCCCTCCTTTAAGTACTCTTCTACTCTATAACTCATATATTTTTTCTGCCCTACTCTATTTTTCATATACAAACACCCTCTTTATAAGACTGCTTTGTGATTTTATTTCCTTGACTTTGAGTTTCTATTCAGAAGATACATTATACGATGTAACTTCCTGATTAATAACAAGAGAATAGAAAATTGCTTTTATTCATTTACCTATTCATTATTTTCAAATATCAATATAACATTAGCAGAAAGTGCTATTTTTATTTTCCTCTTTCTTTTGTAGTTTTGATGAGATGGCAAAATATGACCTTCCAGCTTCCATTGATTTCATTGTGAAGAAAACCAGACAAGAGGAAATATTTTATGTAGGCCATTCACAGGGCACTACTATTGGTATACCAAGAAATATTATTGTTAATATCCCTTAATTTCTTTTTTAAGGTTATGCATATACTTCTTAAAATTGTAGATAAGCTTCTAGACCTGTAAGTAAAACAAAAACTGTGAGACCAACGTAGTATAGCAGAATGCCCTTTGTGGGATTAGAGCAGAATCCTACATGCTGCTTTGATCCCACATGGAGTCTTCTCTAATGGCAAAGAATTGATTGTAAAGACAAGGTTGGTTGTAGTTTTGTTTGTTTCAAATTGTATAAAAGTTGGATATCAATGTTATTTAAGATCAAAGTGAGATTGCCACTATTATTTGTACTACAAATAGAATGTTCACATTATTTTCCCTTTTAAAAATGTAGAATAGGATTTTATCAGTAGAAAAGACCAAAAAGCTATGTATGTTTTTGCATTTAAGTCTGGTCAAACTTAAGAAATGCACAAAAATTAGGAAATTCTTCTTTATTTAAAGATGACAATAAAAGAATTTTAGTCAGAACTCTAATGCCTGTCTAATACGTAACAACTTTACTTTCAGAAATAAATTGCCTATGACTTAACATAATTCTCTTGCATACTATAAACCTCTTTACTTGTGTTATTCCATTTTGCAGGGAGAAAAAGCCATCTTATAACAGAAGCTAATATTAAGTCGTTTCTAAGCTGATGACTAAAATTTTCTTATAAAAATAATCCACTTTCTACTAGAAAAAGCATGTTGAGTAATAATGTAATCCCATTTTCTATAGATCTTTTCTCTGATAGTATTATGTCATATATGTGACTTTTAGTCCAAATTATCATCAACTATTCAATGATCTAAAACCAGGAATGGCTGAAAACATAGAAATAAGAAAAAAAAAAATGAGGATCAAATGCCATACCTTAATTGTTTGGTTGTTTGGCTCCTCAGAAACTAACCTAAATAAATAAATAACCACTCAGAATATTGATGTGTAAGTAGATAGCTTGATAAGATGGCAAAGGGAAAATTACTATTTTCACATTAATGCTTCTAAACTATTGATAAAATAAGATGCTTAGTATCCTCTGTATAAAAAGGTAAGGAATTTTAAAATATATTGAAGCTAAATATTAAAACAGTGTGACATTTGTTGAGTACGTCACCTAAAGTGTAAGATTCATCTGTCTGAAAATTTCACATATTTCATTTTTACCATTGCCCATAATAAAAAATGTTCAATATTGCTCCTAATCTTTAAACTATGGTGTTACATGTCTGATTTATTGCTAAATTATCATTCTTTATGGTCTATATATTGTAGAAACCCTAATTATCAGTATTCTGTTATATACTGGGTGATTAAAAAGTGTTTGATAAGTGAATTAAGAAATAAATAAGTTGATTGTTCGGAAACTATTTTTTAACTTAGTCTTATTCTCCATGGTGTCATCTCTTATTACATGGTAGTAATTGCACAAAAATAGCTTAATAATTTATATCTTCTTTTCTTTTAGGTTTCATAACATTTTCTACTATACCAAAGATAGCTGAAAGAGTCAAAATATTTTTTGCCCTAGCACCAGTTTTTTCCACAAAGTACTTAAAAAGTCCTTTAATTACAATTACCTACAAATGGAAGTCAATAGTGAAGGTATGTTACACCTTTCTTTTACGTCATTGATAACCCAAAATGATAATTCTGTGCTTTCAAAATAAGAGATCTTGACTATAGTAAACAACCACATGTATGCATTGAAATGTTTGGTTTCATTTACACTAGATTTTTGCCTTTATTTCTACAGAGGAATACAATTTTACTTATTATACCTTTAGAACCTCATTGTGAGAGGAAATCCAGTGGCCAAACCATCTCTACACCCTACTTCCAAGTTTATTCCTTTATTTAAAATTTTCAAACTACTGTGAGATAATTTGTTTGGTTGTATGCATAGTGAATTACTACATCATTTCTTTATTACTTTACTACATCATTTCTTTATTACTTATTGTGATCGTCCAAATGTGGATAAAATAAATTTATTTTATAGGTGTTTTCCGGCAACAAAGACTTCTTATCTAAAACCTCATTTAAAAAATTTGTTGGTTCAAAGCTGTGTCCACTACAGATTTTTGAAAAGATTTGCCTCAATATCTTGTTTATGATGTGTGGGTATGACCCAAAAAACTTAAATATGGTAAGAACAACTTATATTTGAAATATATATATTTTCCAACATTTGAAAAGTATAATAATAATAGTGCTTGTGTTATACCTTGTGTCATTTTGTGTTTCATCCATATACACTAGTAGTCAGATTCTTAGTCTATCTGATTTTATGACTACACCAACATTGTACAATTAATTTGCATTAACATGCTGGGATTGTTTTACCTCCATATTTGTCTTGCTGTCTGTAAATATTCAAAAGCAGCTGATGTGATGGGTATCTTTATTGACTTTTGCTATTGGGTATTAGTTTCCTGAGACTTCTAAGATTTAGGTCCTCTTCTATTTATTTGTTTCCCATAACTCCTCCTCCTGGTTCCTAATACTCCTTCCCATCCTTGTTAATCCTTTCATAATTAGAATTACTGCCTGCCAATTATCTTTCAGTTTCTAGCTTTTATCAATACTCTTGGAGTGGGAAACTATTGTGGTACTCAAGCTACTATTACCAAAACCTTTGGATTGATTGTGTGTAGGTTCTTTTAAGGATACAGGCATTTATTTGAAGTGTTTTTTATCACATTAAATTGAACATCTAGATTTGGAAGAAGCAAATGTGGCAATCGGACTAGTGGTTGGTTCTTGTTCCTGGGCCCTTTAAGAACGTCTCAAAGAGAGCCAATGTATACATTCAAAGAAAGAGAGTGTTCTCTTAATTCCCAAACACATTTTCATGCCACAAGGACATGTTTGTTGACTTCGTTGAATTTGTTCAATCTTACCTTATTTTCAGAATGCTATAAGAAATAAACTCAGTTGTCTTCTTTTCCACTCATAAAGATATGAGAAATGTACCTTCTGCCATAGAAAGCAAAAAGGATTACTTTCATATTCCCTCTTTTTCATATTCTTCTGTTCATGTAGTATTAAGCACCTACTATGAGAGAACTGGAAGAATCATAAATATAATGTTTGTTTTTACTTGATTTATCCATTATTTCTATGATTTGGGTAGTATATTTAGCCAATTCTGTATTTTTTGTAATTATAATGTGATGTCTCTGAGAACTCTTTTTTGTGTGTAAATTATTAGAAAAGCTTATACTCTGGTTTTCTAGCCTTGAAATCTGTGGCAGTTCTTCTACAACAGAAGTTGAAAATGTTGTAGATTGTAATATGACTGTGTCTTAATTTAGCTGGAATTATAGGAAGTTGGAAGTAGAAAATTTTCATGCATAGTGTGTTTGGAAATAGTAATGGTGAAACTGTGGTTAAGCTTGAATCAGTCTCTTGAGCCTAGCAAGATCTGTGGAGGAAGTAGGGTCTGGCTTAAAATTATTTTCCTAAAGCCAGTATGAAAAACCAAAAAAAGAATCTGGTAGTTTTTATAAAAAGGCTGTGAGTGGAATCTGACCAATGTCACTTGGGTATGAAAAACCAGCCACAGAGAATTGAAAGCAAGTCATGATACAAGGAAGAACAGATGATGAAAGTGCTCACAGTGTAACTTGGAAAATATATCATCAAACAACCAAAATGTTGACTTTGTCCAGGTGTCACATTTTTTTTTATGATTTACAAAAAGAAATTCTAACTCTTATAAAGGGAAATGAGCCTGAGATATACGAATGCAGCAGTCAACGGTGTGTGGCTACAATTTAGGTCCCTTTCAGGGAATGGATTTCTTCTTATCTTTCTCATAAAGGTGAAGTAGAGACTCTGGTAAACATTTCAGATTGCTCATAGATAGGCCTGATGGGTGTTTATGAAAGCTACTGTGCACTTCTTCATCCAGAAAGATGAACAGAACAGTGTGCTTTGTGTTGTATAAGCCTCTGACCTACATTAAGGTAAACAGTAGTGACCCAGGATGGAAGGAATATCTGGAATGTACCAGAAAACTAAGCATTATGTTGGAGCTTATTTCAAACACAGAGAAGAATTATAATCAGAGGACATAATAAATACCTGAGTTTTAATTATGGAATATTTCTGTTAAAAATTTCTGTACAGGCTGTTTAAAATGGTCCTGTCAGAACTTTATTTTTGACAGTTTCAAGCAGCCGGAATGGCAATGAAAACAAAAGAAATTTTCTCTTTATTGAGGTACAATTGACAAATAAATACATTGTGAAATAATTGCCACATCAAGTTGTTAATACATCTATCACCTCTAGTCACATTTTTGGTGAGAATGCTAAATTTTAGAAAATTTCAGGTATACAGTACAGTATTATTAGCTAATCACCATGCGGTGCATTAGATCCTCAAAATGTATTTACCGTATAACTGAAAGTTTGTACCCTTTCACCACCATGTCCCCATTTTTCCTACCTGCCAGACCCTGGCAACCACCATTTTACTCTGTTTCTATGAGCTCACCCATTTTTATTTTTTGGGTTTTTTTTTCTTAATTTAAGATACTACTTATGAGTGATATCATACAGTATTCGTCTTTCACTATTTGGCTTATTTAACTTAGTAATACCCTCCAGATTCATCTATGCTGTCGCAAATGGCAGAATTTTTTTCTCTTCTATGGCTCATTAATATTCCATCGTGCATATATATTTATGTGTGTGTGTATATATAAATGGATATATAGATATATATGTGGAGATATATATGTATATCTTCAAGATATATATATATATATATATATATATATATATCTTCAATCAGATGGGTCAATTTTTATGGTTGTTTTTGTTCTTATTGTTCCTGGAAGATATTATAAAGCTTGTATTTTATGTCTTCAGCTATAATATTAACAATATTTTAAAATCCATTTTGATAGTCTTTGCCTTTTAATTGGATTACATTTCATAAATCTATTTTTATATAATTATTAAGATTAGATTTATGGCTATCATCTTGCTATGTGCTTTTTATTTGTCCTATCTGGTGTTCTTTATTTAGCTCCTCAACTTATTTTGGTAATTTATTTCTATCTTGTTAGTTCTTTAGTGCTTTCAAAAGGTGTTTGTGTATGTGTATGTATAGCTGTTTCTCAGTCACATATAATTGTTTTTAGTAGGGTGACAGATGAAATAACTTAGAAATTCAATAATAGCGGCTGGGCATGGTGGCTCATGCCTGTAATCCCAGAACTTTGGGAGGCTGTGGTGGGTGGATCATGAGGTCGGGAGTTTGAGACCAGCCTGACCAACATGGTGAAACCCTGTTTCTACTAAAATTACAAAAAATTTGCTGAGCATGGTGATGCGTACCTGTAATCCCAGCTACCCAGGAGGCTGAGGCAGGAGAATTGTTTGAACTCGGGAGGTGGAGGTTGTAGTGAGTGGAGATTGTAGTGAGTGCAACACCCATTGCACTCCAGCCTGGGCAACAGAGTGAGGCTCTGTCTTAAAAAAAAAAAAAAGAAATTCAATAATAGCTTCTATATTAATGTAAAAATTGTACAATTTAATAAGTAAATTTGTATATTTAATTAAAATATAATTTGATGATTTGTTTATTAATGATTAATTTAAAATTAATTTTCTTGAAATAATTTAGTCTAATAAATACTAAGAGATTATGCTTTCTATGATTCAACTAATATAAAAATGCTTTTGTTTTTAACCCCTCAGAGTCGTTTGGATGTATATTTTTCACACAACCCAGCAGGAACATCTATTCAAAATATGCTCCATTGGAGTCAGGTATAACTGCTAAAGTGTATTTCAATACAATTTAATTTACACTAATCATGGTTTACCTCATTATTCTAGGGATCATACCACAGCCATAGAATAATAAATTTATAAAGATAACATGAAATTATTATATATTCGTGTAATTCCTTATAGTTTATAAAATACTGGGGCCAGGCCTGATGGCTCATGCCTGTAATCCCAGCACATTGGGAGGCCTAGAGGGTCAGATCACCTGAGGTCACGAGTTTGAGATCAGTCTGGCTAACATAGTGAAACCCAGTCTCTACTAAAAATATAAAAATTAGCCAGGCATGGTGGCTCATGCCTGTAATCCCAGTTACTTGAGAGGCTGAGGCAGGAGAATCACTTGAACCCTGGAGGTGGAGGTTGCAGTGAGCCAAGATCACACCACTGCACTCCTGACTGGATGACATAATAAGACTGTCTCAAAAATAAAAGTAAAACGTTAGTAGCGTAATTTAATAAACCTCTAAACCTTAACAGTGCTACAACAATATAAATATCTATGTTTTACAATTGAGAAAATGATAGAACAGTAGACTAGGAATTATTTAGGCCATGTCCCACAACCGACTTGCCCAATGATTCAAAGCTATTTCATTTTAAAAAATCTGATTGGAATACAGTTATCCTGATGCTTACTCTGAAATGCTTCACTAGACTGCTTTTTCTCTTCTGTTGAATTGTTAACTCCTTGAGGACCATGAGAAGTTTTGTTCACTTTTGTATTTCCAAGGCCAACAGTTCTAAGCATATGGTAGATACCCAATTAATATTTGTTCAGAAAATGATACTGATACAGAAAAATCCAGCGTGAATGTAATCTTAATGTTGAAAACCAGGATAAACATAGTATAAAGAATACTTTTCTCAGATCAAAAGACCAGAAATTAAATTGTTTCTCTGGACCTTAGTGGCATGATGACATTGAACATCTCATTTAATCTTCCTGAATCAGTTTCCTTTATTTTTAAAGTGAAATTAATAATTCTCTGATTTTACTTAGAAAAATATTGTAAGACTCGAAAAGACTAATGATTATGAATGTTCATTGAAGTTCATAAACACTAGGTAACTTTAAAGTATCATTAAGATATTGGGTAAGGCTTTTTTGTTTAGAAAACATTTAAATCTATAATGTAATTGATTTGATATAAATTATTGAAAACATTTATTATCACTTATATTTAGGTAAGATAAGTTATACTTTCTTCTCTGGTGATGGCTAGACTAGAAAAATCTAAACAACTTTTGCAAATATTTATCCATTGTAACAATATTTATTTTACACCTACTATATCTGTGTACAATTCTGTGTTCATGGGCTACATCAGTGAACAAAACGAGAACTCCTGTCTTCCTCAAGCTTGCATATTAGTAGATACATAGATAATAAATGATAAGCACGTCAACTTTAAAAACTATTATAATGTGTTAGAAGGGATGAATAGAACTATGGAGAAACTGCAGTAAAAGAGTAGGGAAAAGGGATTAGGCATGTTGGGAAGTGTGTTGTATTTTTTAACAGAAAGGTTAAGTCAGGCTTCAATGAGATGGTGACATTTGAAAAAATATTTGGAGGAGGTGAGGTAATTAGCACTATGGATGTCTGGGGCTGCCATAACAAAATACCATAGATTGGGAAGCTTATAAACAAAAGAAATTTGTATATTTTTATTATTTTATTTATAAACAAAAGAAATTTATTTCTTATTCCTCACAGTTCTGGAAGCTTAATCTTGGAAAGTCAAAGATGAACATGCTAACAGATTTGGTGTCTAGTGAAGGTCCACTTTCCAGTTCATAGATGGTACTTCTAACTATGTCCTCAGATGGTAGAAGGGGCAAAAGAGTTTCCTTGTGCACTTGTGACCTAATCACCTCCCTCAAAAGCTCCACCTGTTAATACAATTACTTTGGGGGTTAGGGTTTCAACATATGAATTTTGCAGGGACACAAGATTTAGACCATACAGTGGGGGGTGGGGCAAACATTTCAGATAGAAGGAGTAGCCAATGCAAAGCCCATATTCAGTAGCATTTCTGGGAGGCTCAGCTAAGAAGCAAGTGTGGCTGCAGTAACAGAGAAACTTAGAGAAAGGAAGCAAAAATAATGAGTAAGAGGGAGCTGTATGCCATTGTAAGGACTTTGGCATTCACTCTGTATGAAATGAGAAGGCACTATATGTTTTTGAGCAGGGAAGTGACATGATATAGTTTACACTTTTAAAAGGAACACATTGGCTGCTATGTTGAGTAGACTATAGTGGGACAAGAGTGAAAGCGGTGAGAGTTAGGAAATTATTGCAGTAATCCAAATGGGATTTAACAATTGCTTGGACTGATATATTGACAGTGGAAGTGGTGAAAAGGAATGGAGTCTGAATAAACATATGTATATCATGAACATGCTGGCAACAAAGTTGAATAATAGACTCTATAATAGGCAAGAGAGAAAGAGAGTCTTGGATAATTTTAAAGTTTCTGACTTATGTAATGAAAAGATAAAATTGCCATTAAAGGAGATGAGGAGGTTTGATGATAGAAGGGTTTGGAGGAAAGGTAAAATAAGTTTTAGATATTTAAGTGATGACATTGAGTAAGCAGTTGTGTATAGGAGCCTAGAATTTAGGAAATACTTATAAAAGAAGATAAGCATTTTGAATGTAAATGACATATAAAGCCAAGAGAGTGGGTGAGAATACAAATGAAGTGAGTATAGACAGAGAAGAGCAAGATCCTTTCGAGCAAGGATTGGGTACTGAGATCTGAAAAGATGAACAGGTCAGGTGGCAGAAACTAAATCAGCTAAACAAAGCTGAAAAGGAAGAGTAAGTGAAAATGAAGATCAAGCAATTGTGGTGTTCCAGAAGCTAAGTGAAGGAAAGATCTCAAGGATGAGGGAATGAACAACTATGTCAAGTGCTGCCCATAGATAACATGAAAAAGTTCCTCAGAATTGATCAAAGTGCTAGAAATGTCAGGGTCATAAGTAACCTTGGCCAGAAAATGGTGGTGAGGCTGTGATTATAAAGGGATAAAGCAAAAAGTGCCTTCTGAGACAAACTCTTGAGCCCTACCGTTTGAAGCAAGGTGTTTTTGGCGTGTGTTATCTTAGTCTCAGTACAAGACACTCAGTGATGATCTCTGTTGATGAAGCTGAAAATTTAAGGGAGCCTGATGTTACTTTCCTCAAAAGAGGCTCCCCTCCTGGTGGAAAAAGGCCTTGGACATATGTACATTTATATAAAGACAATGAAATTATATTTAGATTCCCCTGCCCCCATCTCCAACCCCTTCTATTTATTTATGTATCCAAAGGAAAAGAAGAACAAAGAAGCCAGCTGCATAAATACCAGCAGACCCAGTACAATGGGGGTATATATGCATTGCATGCTTAACTTGCTCAGCTGCCGCTGTTATGAACAAACGATATGGTCTTCTTGTTTGTTTCTCTTTCAGCTTTTAAATTCTACTCATTTGAAAGCTTATGACTGGGGCAGTCCTGATCTGAACTTGGTTCATTATAATCAGGTAAATGATTCTCTATAAAAATAAAAATTCTCTCCCTTCCTGATTGTTCAGATGACTTTGCTATATACTAAGGATCAACTATAAATCCCCAGAGTACAATAACACACTGACAGGGACCAGCAGATAAAGATAATGTTCATTTGAAAAATATTGTCACATCCAACCGAAGTGGCTTTTCCATGTTTTCTATGTATTTTAATAAATATTCTGGATAAGCCTAGAAAAGTTGACAGGCAGTAGAAGAAGTCATTGTCCCTCAAGAGGAAAAATATTGTGTTTTTAATATGCATAGCTTTACATTTGGTTAATAAGAAATAATAGGCATAATATATTTATTGACCCTAAAACCAGTTATTCTGTTTGGAAAGATAAGAAAACATATATAATAATTAGGAAAAATTAGCAGTCAATGAGAATGTGGTAAAAATTGTATAATAACAAAATTATGGAAGTACTAGAACCCAAGTCTTTCTGACTTCAAAGTTTATGCTTTTCTTCCATACTTTACTGCCTCAGCTAAACTCCAGGCCTGATGTGATCTATTCATATAAAAGTCTGATCTTCATATAAAATTTGAAGATCAAATTCAATGAGATCAGAGTTGACACTGACTGCCAATACTTATAATGTATTGACCAACATATTGATAGCAATATTGCCACAGAAAATTTGATTTAAAATCTTTTATGTTTTATAAATAGTACTGAAATTACCTCTGTGAAATGTTTGAATATTTTGAATAGAGCAAACTGTCTAGTTTATGTATGATTTATTTTCAAGTAAAACTTGTAATGCCTATTCATGCTTTTATACCTTTGTTTCAACAGATAAAAGTTGAATCCATTAGATTTGACTTATTTTAAAACAGTATTTAAAATCATCATTTTTAATCAACTAGTAATGAAAACCTTCCAATGTATCATCTCCTATGAAAAATCTTTTTTCACTCATTTATTTTTAGACAACATCTCCATTATACAATGTGACAAACATGAATGTGGCAACTGCAATTTGGAATGGTGAAAGGGACTTATTGGCAGACCCTGAAGACGTTAAAATTCTACATTCTGAAATCACAAACCGCATTTATTATAAAACTATTTCTTACTACAATCATATAGACTTTTTGTTTGGATTAGATGTCTATGATCAAGTTTACCATGAAATCATTGATATTATCCAAGATAATCTATAAAGAACCATGGCACTGTGTGTTTAAAGATCTATATTATTCCTACTAAAATCCAATTCTTATATTTTTAACTGTGTAGGTTCTTTCATTTTTAAAACTAAAGTATGTAATTTTTCCCTGAATATTCTTATTGACTTTAGGCCCTCCAGTCATTAAATCAGTGTCATTAATTATCTCAGGGGAAATGGCAGATTATAAGTCAGTCTAAGAAGCCTGTTGAGTTTCAGAATAGAATTTAGATAACTTATATCAAAAACAGTAATGTTTAACAATTTGAATTACAAGAGATAACATTTTAAGAAAGTTTTTTTCCGAAGTACAAGGGCTTACAAATTTTATAAAAAATAGAGTTTCGAGTAATACTTGATAATATGAAAACTAATGTTCCTCTATCCTAAATAAAGAGCAAAAATGCTTTTCAAGTTTTATAAAGGAGTTTGGGAAGAAAAGAAAAAGAAAGAGAGCCTGAATGCCAATGTAATATTGCTGCCTTATGACCATTTCAGGCAAAGTCCAAGATGTAGGGGCTGTGCTTCACTTCCTGGAGTGCATAGCTTGAGAAGAGGGAAGTTGCCTTTCCAGCCTATTGTGTGTTAAGAGCAGCAATGGTTGAGTTATATTCCTAGGTAACTAGATCTGAGGATAGATTCACAAAATATTATGCACTGTAGCTTATTGCATATAAGATCCAATAATTTCTTATACATGAGACATGTAGATATATTCAAGAGTGTACTAGAAGATGTAAAAAGGAATAAGATTTGAAATGAAAGTATACTGTCAATAAATGCAACACATATAATAGAAGGCACAGACTGTGGCAAGACAATGGGAATAATCAGGAGATGTACACAAAATTGTATGTAGACTTTCTGTTTCCAGTTCCTCACATAACATAATTGGAAGTTACCTCTCAGACTAAACAACAAACAAAAAGTTCAGTAGACTGAAAAATCAATAATTCCTCTTGTCAGTCTTTTTGACACTTACACAAGTGTCTAAATCAAATGGAAAGTATGTAATCAAATGTCAGTTTTACCTTCAGGAGTTTGCTCAGGTTCTCACAGTAAATATTAGAGAAAAATTCTCTCATGCTCTAGCAGAGAGAGAAGAATAGAAACTATTTTGAAATAGGTGACAGCACTCTACTCTTAACAAGGCCTGTCCTCAGAAGAAACTAGTTAACCAGAGCCTAATCTGCAGGGTGTTATCAAAGCCTAATGAACCGGAAGGAAAGATCATACCAAACTTCTGCCTACTCTAGCTATCTCATCAAAGTGGAACTGAGAAGCATTTCTGAAGTTCACAGTCCAGAGGCACAGGCTTACTAAAAGACTGAGACCCCCATTATTAATGGGACTATAGAATGCTTTCCCTCCCTTGCATCTCACCATATACTCTGGTGGAGGATGATGATAATGAAGGAGGCTATGCATGTGCGGGGGCAGGAAATATATGGGAAACCTTTGCACCTTCATCACAATTTTGCTGTGCACCTCAAATTACCCTAAAAAACAAATCCTTAAAAAAAATCGCATGCAAGGATATGTACCATAGTGGAAGATAAACTTTTCTTTGTTCCATTTCCTGAATAATGCATAACTTCCTGGGACATTTGTAGTCCCCAGAGAGACCAAGATGCTAAGAAGAAAGTCTGGAATCGAGTGTAAATTTACCACATGAAGACTAACAAAACAATCCATAATTTGCTGAATTGGAGAATTAAGTTTACTGCATTAAGCAAAACAGGAGTTGAAAGCCAAGTTCAGCTAGTTTTGAAGTTGCTAAATTTGTAATTAACACATGCTTATGGACTTCTGAAATTATTATACAAAAGAGGCAAGAAAAACTCAAGTCCAGAGGCAGGGAACCTAAGGGCTTCCTAGAACTAAATCAAATGGAAAAAAACTTCAACTTTCTAGAGCAAGTATATAACTTTGTAACTTCAATTCAGCTGTGTCAAGAAACATCCTCTTCATTTGCTTAGGGTATACACCAAGTAAATAACTTTGTAACTTCACTTTATCCTCTCCAACTGTACAGGGTGTACACCAAGTAACCAATGGGAAATGTCTAGAGGGTATTTAAGCCCTAGAAAATTCTGTAACCAGGTTTTTGAGCTGCTTGTTCAGGCCCACTCCCACTGTGTCGAATGTACACTTTGGTTTTCAATAAATCTCTTCTTATGCTGCTTCATTCTTTCCTTTCTTTGCACATTTTGTTCAATTCTTTGTTCAAAGTGCCAAGAACCTGGACAGCTTCCATGAGTAACACAAATATAAATTAAACATATAGATAGAGAAATAAAATATGTGTATAGGTTATTATGAATGCAACTAGGGAAGGTAAATAATAATTTGCAAAATCATAGTTAAGGCTATGAAGAAGTCCTTGTATTCTTTGGCAAAACTTGGCACTAAAATAGTAGAGTACTGAGAATAGATACATATTTAGAGGTATCTTTTTAAAGAGCTTTAGAATGTTAATATAACTTAAATGTTACTTCAGTGGTTTCAAGTGATCTTTCAAAGAAGGCAAATAGATGGGATAATAATTCAGAAGAAGTACTCATGTTTATATTTAAATAATAAATTGTAAGTCTCTGATAATGGTGGACTAAACTTAGATCTGGAGAAAACATAAAGAGTATCTACTTCAAGACAATGGAAGCTAAAAACACAATGAAAAATTAGTCAAGAAAAGGAAACTCAAAGAAGTGAGGGAATACCTTGTTAAAAGCCCCTCCAAATTAATGGAGACTGGAAATTGGAATTCAGTATACCAGCAGGAAGTTTCCTCTGATAAGCCTCAATCCTCAGCCTTTAAGTCGTAACCCCAGAGTACTCTACCGCAAGAATAAGGTTAAAATGGAAATTGATCACTTATTTAGGAGCTGTAGTCCAGCTTTGAATCATAAGAATTCCTAATGTACTAAAATAATCTAGAACTACTAATGCCCTAGCTGTCAGAAGCAAATCCTCTCTGGCAGAAAGTTAAATCATCCAAGATACTAGAAATAATGCTAAAATTTTGATGTGCCACAGAATAGGTCAATATAAATCATATTTTTATGTACTAAGGTCATCAATTGCAAAATGAAATTTAAAATATGCCATTTTCAATATTATGAAAATATTTAAATACTTGATAAATACATTCACACTGGCAGACACAATATTAAGATATCCGCTATTCCCAAATTTATTCATATATTCATAGCAATTCTAATCAAAATCCCCTGGGCTCTTTTTTTTAACCATATAAATTGTTATATTCATTCTAAAATTTTTATAAAATTACAGTTATAATTGCCAAAACAATTTTCCAAAATTTTATAGAATTTACACTACCTAATTGCAAGACTGACCACAAATCTGCATTAACTAAGACAGTGTGGTATTAGCATAAAAAGATGTCTACATACATGGAACAGTACAGAGTTTGGAACTAGACCATACCTATGCAGTCAGTTGATCTTCAACAAAGATGCTTAGGTAATTCCATAGGTTAAAGGATTGTTTTCAGAAATGGACATCATAATGAAAAACAAAGATGAACTTTAACCTCTACATTACATCATATATAAAATTTAGTTTGAAATGAGTCATAGACTTATGTCTAAATCTAAAACTATAAAACTTCTAGAAGAAAACAGAGAAGAAAGTCTAACTTCAGGCTAGGCAAACATATCTTAGAAGAAACACAGAAAAACTGAAGACCCTCACAGAACCCACTTCACTCCCCTGCTACCTCAACCAGAGCAGGTGCTGGTATCCACAGTTGCAAGACCTTAAGATAGATCACATCACAGTTCTCTTTGCAGTCACCCCCAGTACCAGCCTGGAGCCCGGTAGCTCCACTGGGTGGCAAGATCCAGAAAAGCAAAAGCAATCATTACACTTTGGCTCTTAGGAAGCCCATTCACAGCGGAAGCAGGAGAATACCACATCAAGGGAGCACCCAATGGGACAAAGTAATCTGAACAGCAACCCTTGAACCCTAGATATTCCCTGTGATATAGTCTACCCAAATAAGAAGGAACCAGAAAAACAATTCTGGTAATGTGACAAAACAAGTTGTTTTAACACCACAAAAGATCATACCAGCTCACCAGCAATGGATCCAAACCAAGATGAAATCTCTGAATTGCCAGAAAAAGAATTCAGAAAGTGGATTATGAAGCTAATTAAGAAGGAACCAGAGAAAGGTGAAATTTAACTTAGAGAAATTACAAGCATCATACAGGATAAGAAAGGAAAATTCTTCAGTGAAATAGCATAAATAAAAACAATCACAACTATGGAAATCAAGAACACACATAGAGAAATGCAAAATGCACTGGAAAGCCTCAGGAATAAAATTGAACAATAAGAAGAAAGAACTTCAGAACTCTAAAACAAGGCGTTTGAATTAACCCAATCCATTAAAGAAAATAAAAAAGAATTTTTAAAAATGAACAAAGCCTCCAAGAAGTTTGAAATAAACGCCCAAATCTAAGAATAATTGGTGTTCCTGAGGAAGAAGAGAAATCTAAAAGTTTGGAAAACATATTTGAGGGAATAATCAAGGAAAACTTCCCCAGCCTTGCTAGAGATCTAGACATCCGAATAACAAGAAGCTCAAAGAACAACTGGGAAGTTCATGGCAAAAAGATCATCACTCATGCACATAGTCATCAGGTTATCTAAAGTCAAGACAACGGAAAGAATCTTAAGAATTGTGAGGCAAAATATTACATAACCGATAAGGGAAAACCTATCAGATTAATAGCACATTTCTCAGCAGAAACCCTACAAGTTAGAAAGGATTGGAGACCTATTTTTAGCCTCCTTAAACAATTATCAGCTAGGTATCCAGTGAAACTAAGCTTCATAAATGAAGGAAAGATACAGTCTTTTCCAGATAAATGCTGAGAGAATTCGTCACTACCAAGCCAGCACTACAAGAACTGCTCAAAGGAGCTCTAAATCTTGAAACAAATCCTTTGAATACACCAAAATAGAACCTTCTTAAAGCATAAATCTCACAGGACTTGTATAACAATAACAAAATGAATTAAAAACAACATA